CGCGCGGGGAGGGGGGCGCGCGGGGAGGGGGGCAGGAGGGGGGCAGGAGGGGGGCCGGTGGGGGCCGCCCCGCGCTGACCGCCCCGCGCCGACGCCCCGCGCCCAGGCCTTCCTCCTGGCCTTCTCGTCCGACTTCCTGCCCCGCACCTACTACCAGTGGACCCGCGCCCGCGACCTGCGGGGCTTCGTCAACTTCACGCTGGCGCGCGCCCCGCCCCCCTTCGCCGCCGCGCACAACCGCACCTGCCGGTGAGCCCCGCGCCGGGTGGGTGCCGGGGAGGCAGGAGGGGCGCGCCGCGGTTCCCCGCGGGAAGGGACGGGGCCTGCGCCCAGGACGGACCGTGGATTCTGTCGCCCGTGGCCGCAGAGATGTGCTTCACGCGCGTTTCTGGAGGCCTCCTCTGCGATCTGGTTGGAATGAAGTTTTGCATGTTTCAAGTAAACTCGAAAAAAATCATAGTCTCCTAATTTTGGAGAAAATCTAAACAGTAAAATTAAGCCACAGGGTCGTCAGTGTTTCCATGTAGGGCTGGCTCAGGTTTTGCTTTAGTATTTTGAACTTCTTAGTAGCATATGAGTTAGTTCATTCTTGTGAGCTCTTCCTAACGGATATCTTCCTTTTTATTCCTTCTCTCCTGACTTCTGGTGGATGGGTAAAAGTTTTTTTTTTTTTTCCATTCTTTTGGTTTTTTGGAACTGATGGCATATATTTCTATTGTTTTACGGGTCACTCATGTTTAGCGTCTTTTTTATTTTTTATTTTTTTCCGACACTGGCTCTTGCTCTGTATCCCATGCTGGAATGCGGTGCCACATCGTAGCTCACTGGGCTCAAGCAATCCTCCCACCTCAACCGACTGAGTAGCTGGAACTGCAGGAGTGTGCCAACAGGCCTGGCTTTTTTTTTTTTTTAAGAGATGATGGAGCCTCTCTGTTGTGTTATCCTGGCTTCAAACTCCTGGCCTCAAGCAGTCCCTTGGCCTCCCAAAGCACTGGGATTAGAGGCACAAGCCACCACACCTGGCCAGCGCATTCTTAACTGTATATTATCCTAACAAAGCCCGAATGAATTCGATTTGGCTTCCTCTCTGTGTGTGTGACAAGGATGTTTACATGCCTTACCACCTAGTGAGCACCCACCTCTCCATCTTATTGTTACATAGGGTTTTTGTTAAAAACACACACGAAACATTTGTCATCTGTTCATCAAATTTATTTGTGTATTTTGTTAGCCTCTGTGGTTACAGTAATCTCTTATTCAGTGCTTTCCCTCTGAGTTCATTTCTTTTCATGAAGTATACCCTTTAATAATTCTTTCAGTAAAGACATGGTTGGTGGGCTCTTCATATGCAAAAATGCATGGAGATATAGGTAGAATATCTCCATGATATATGTATGATAATATCTCCATGCATTTTTGTCCTTCAAATAGTGGGTATAAAATTATAGGTTCTTTTTTCTCAGTTCTTGGGCAATATTATTCTTTGGTAACTTGGCTTTTCTGATTGGAAGTATTCATAGCACTTAAAAATGTTTCTGGCTGGGCACGGTACCTCATGCCTATAATCCCAGCATTTTGGGAGGCCAAGGTGGGTGGATCACCTGAGGTCAGGAGTTCGAGACCAGCCTGGCCAACATGATGAAACCTCTGTCTCTACTAAAAATACAAAAACAAACAAACAAAATATAGATATAGATATAGATATCTGGGTGTGGTAGCACATGCTTGTAATCACAGCTACTTAGGAGGCTGACTCACAGGCACTGCTTGAACCTGGGAGGCGGAGGTTGCAGTGAGCTGTGATGGTGCCACTGCACTGCAGCCTGGGCAACAGAGTGACAAAAAAAAAAAAGACTTTTCCTGTAATCCCAGCACTTTAGGAGGCTGAGTTGGGAAGATTGCTTTAGCCTAGGAGTTTGAGATCAGCCTGGGCAACATGGTGAGACCTCATCTCTACAACAGTTTTAAAAATCAGCCAGGCCTGGAGGCAGGCACTTGTAGTTCCAGCTTACTTGGGAGACTGAGGTGGGAGGGTCGCTTGAGCCCGGCCGCAGTGAGCTGCGATCACGCCAGTGCACTCCAGCTTGGGCGACAGAGATTCTGTCTCTTAAAAAATAATTTTTGGTGTGGCACGGTGGCTCATACCTATAATCCAGACTTTCAGAGGCCAAGGCAGGTGGATCATTTGAGGTCAGGAGTTCGAGACTAGCCTGACCAACATGGTGAAACTCCCTATGTTAAAAAAAAAAAAAAAATTACTTGGGCATGGTGGTGCATGCCTATAATCTCAGCTACTCCAGAGGCTGGGGTAAGAGGGTTTTTCTCTTTTTCGAGATGGAGTTTTGCCCTTGTCATCCAGGCTGGAGTACAGTGGCACAATCTCGGCTCACACAACCTCCACCTCCCAGGTTCAAGTGATTGTCCTGCCCCAGCCACCCAAGTAGCTGGGATTACAGGCACATGCTACCATGCCTGGCTACTCTTTTGTATTTTTAGTAGAGATGGAGGTTTTACCATGTTGGCCAGGCTGTTTTGAACTCCTGACCTCAAGTGATCAAGCTGTCTCAGCCTCCCAAAAGTGCTGGGATTACAGGCGTGAGCCACCGCTCCCCACTCAGAGCTGTCGTTTAGTTCTGGAAGCGTCTGCACCTCATTCCTTCTGGCAGTGCTTCTCTGTCCACTGTCGCCTGGAACTCCCCCTGGGCTGTGGCTTGCTCCTCCCGTGTTGGGTGCTTGCTGTGCTACCTGCAGGCTGGCCTCATCGTCACTGTCTCCCAGTCCCCAGTCTCTCTTCTGCTGCGTCCAGCCACTTAAAAGTTTATCCCATTCATCTGAAGGACTTTTTTCCCCAATGGCTATATTTTTAATATTTTTTTCTTTTCCTACAAAGTTGGCCCTGGTAATGCTTCTCATGGAGTGCAACATGTAATTTATATTAGAAAATAGAATGTCACATCTTGACCATGTGACAGAGACACAGGAAGATGCGAAGGTCTGAAATAGCGCGTGAAGCTGAGTGTAGCTTATGATAGGAGGGAGGGCTTGGCTGGGCAGGCACAGTCTCTGAGCAGGTGAACTGCGGATCTTACAGAGGTCAGCGACTGGCGAATTTTCACCGTGTAAGTAGGCTGACATCATTCGTAGAAGCACAGACTTACTGTACTGTCACATCTATTAGAAAATAAGGCATTTGCCACTGGGGGTGGGGGGCAACGTAGCCCAGTGGGGGACAACCCAGCCCATCCACCTTTGGAACCCACCAGTTAAAGGTACTGTCAGAGTATCCTGTTTGGGAATACTTCCCATTTCAGGCACCCTCGATGAAGAGCCAGGCCTGGAACGCAGGATCAGAGGGGGAAACGGTGGGAAAAGGGGAGAAAGGCTGATTCCAGAGGCACCTGCCCAGCCGACACTCTGCCCTGGCTCCAGGCGCTGAGCCCCGCGTCTCCTGCAGGTATCGGGCTTTCCGGGATGACGATGGACATTATTCCCAGACCTACTGGAATCTCCTTGCAATCCGCCTGGCCTTCGTCATTGTGTTTGAGGTAGCCGGGGCACCTGCTGCTTTTCCCGCCTGTGGCATGATACGCCCACCCCCCCCCCCCCCCCCCGCCGTGCTTTGTCTATTTCGAGCACGTGGCGGGAGAGGGATTTTGTGCGACCACTTCCTGCTGTGTCATCTTGGTCCAATGCGAGCTCTCCTCTGCGCCTTCATTTTCCCTGCCTGGCCTCGTCCCCGTGCTGCGGTGTGGACCTGAGTGCCTGGGGATTGTAGGGGTCTCCACAGGAGCTCCAGGGCCATGAAAGCTGGGGTGGCCTCTGCCCCTTCTGGGGTTCCTTTCCCTGCACAACTGCTTTCGAGCTCCGCCCGCAGCTGGGAGCAGGTGCTGCAGCCGAGGCCTGCTCGGCCCCGGGAAGGCCATTCTGGGGGTTTGTCTTCACCAAGGGTGGGGGTGAGTACCCTCCTCTGCTCCCAGCACGTGGTTTTCTCCATCGGCCGGGTCCTGGACCTCCTGGTGCCTGACATCCCCGAGTCTGTGGAGATCAAAGTGAAGCGGGAGTACTACCTGGCTAAGCAGGCGCTGGCAGAGAACGAGGTGAACCACGTGGCCAGCCTCGGCCCTCCCCCCAGCCCTCCCCCATCCTTGTCTGTGGCTGCTGCACCTCAGGACACCAAGTCACATCCCTCTTCCTCTTGCTGCCCTTTCTTGGGGACAGGCTCTTTTTGGAACAAACGGAGCAAAGGATGAGCAGACCCAGGGCTCAGAGGCAAGTCTGGGAGCAGCCAGGCCCCTGCCCCATGCTTTCCCCAAGGTCACAGGGCCCTGCCCCGCCGCCCACTGCACCCTGTGGCCCTGGCCTGCTCCTGACCCTGGTCTGACTTGTCCCTGCCCCCAGCCCTCTCCCCAGCTCAGCCCTCACTGGACACCCTTCAGGGTCCCCAAGGCCAGCCAGCTGCAGCGGTGACGCCTGGAAGGACATTGGGCAGCCTTTAGGGGAGCAGCCCCTGCTGAGCCCCTCCCGAGCGAGCCCTGTGAGCAGCGTCCTTTCCCTCTTCCCTCAGGCAATGGCTGTGTGAACCACTGGCTGCTGGCGGGCCCTCATCTCTGGGCACATTGCATGCGTACCCCCAGTGCCGGCCTCTCTCCTCAGTGCCTGTCCCTCCATCCCCGGCAGGGAGGGACTGTCGGATCGCAGAGCCTTGTTCCCTGCTCCCAAACCTCAGTCCAAGGGGCCCCTGCACCCAAGGGACCTTGTCCCTCGATGGCCAGGAGGTGGCCTCCCCAGACCCCTGGACACACTTCTCTGGTCTTGCCGCCCCTGGCCGCATCACCCTGCTCCTCTTACACCTGCTGACCTTCAAATGGTGCAGAGAGCAGGGCCGTCCTCCCTCACGTCCTCTGGACCCACCCACCTCTTCCCGCCCTGTCCATGCAGGGACATCACCCACATGCCCCAGCTCTCAAACCCTGCACCTCTGTGTCCCAGGCCATAGCATAGTCCATTCACCCCCTCCCTCCATTTCCAGTTAATAGGGTCCCCTGGATTCTTGTTGCTGAGTCAGGCCCCCCTTTCCATCCTCGCCACTGTCAGCAGCCTCTGCGTCTGCAGGTGCCTCCTGCAGCAATTAAACGTGTTCTTTTGATCCTCGGCTGCCTAGTACAAAACAAGCACCCAAATGGGGGAGGTTTTGGGAGGACTGGAAACGTGTATTTCTGTAACATCTGGTGGCTCTTCCCCATATTTCGTGCATATCCTTCAGTTTTCCACCCTGGATCGTCATGTGACGTGCAGTTCTGCCCTGCACTGAGGAGCCCCTGGCCATGCTCCCTGTGTAGCCGGCCACTTACTAAACATCCTGCAATGGATCTGTGCTCATCTGTACTGATTTCTGTAGAGTTCTACAAGTGGAACTTAAGCGTCAAAAAGAGCATGTGGTTTTTTGGCCGGGTGCCGTGGCTGACACCTGAAATCCCAGCGTTTTGGGAGGCCGAGGTGGGAAGATCACGGGGTCAGGAGTAGAGACCAGCCTGGCCATCATGGTGAAACCCCGTCGCTACTAAAATCACAAAAACTGGGCGTGGCGATGGGCATCAGTCCTCCCAGCCACTTGGGAGGCTGAGGCAGGAGAATCGCTTCAACCTGGGAGGCAGAAGTTGTAGTGAGCTGAGATTGTGCCACTATACCGCAGCCTGGGTGACAGAGCGAGCCTCCATGTCAGAAAAAAAAAAAAAAAAGTGGTTCTAATGTGCTTTGATGAGTGCTGCCAAACTCACCCCACAGGAAAGGCCTCTTTCGGAACATCCTCGCCGTGGTGTTTAGCCGTGGTGTTTAATCCGCGGCGACACCTGGCTGAGGGCGAGCTTGCTTGTGGCAATCGTTGAGGATGTGTCACTTGCTCACCTGCCTCTTACCAGCGTTGTGCTCTGCCTCCAAGTCAGGGCTCTTCTGGCAGGGATGAGGGGCTCACAGGGTCCTGGGGCTGGATGCCACCAGCAGGGCACGGCTGACCACCGGGCACCTCAGGAACTTGGCGCACACTGAGCTCAGCCATTCCGTGAGCTTTCACTAGGCCAAGTGCTCGTGACGCATCCACATGACTCCCAGCTGCTTGCTTTTTATTACCGTTGCCGTCTTAAACGTCTTCAGAGTTTTAAGGTGAATGCATTGAAACGTAAGAAAATGGTCAGGTTGTACCCCAACAGGTTTCTAGGCGAATAAACCATCACCAGCAGGGGGTCAAAACCAAGTCCCAATTGCCAGGTCCCGATGCCCACGTGTGCCCCTGCCCTGGGACTCTCTCCCATCAAGAGTCACCACCTCGGCCACTTAAGCAGGGATGGAAGTGGGGACTCCGTTTCTGGCTTCTGCCGTGGGACGGCGCGTGAGCTGCATCTGTGCCGAGCTTCCCTCTCGGCCCCTCCTGGCTGCTGGCATGCTCCATGTGTGGGTCATTTGCAAGTGTGTGCCTTGCCGTGGGTTGCAGATTTAAGGGCCCACGGAATGGCTGGGTCATGGGTTAAGCATGTTCAGCTCTAAGAGCAACGGCCACATCCGTCTTCCCAGGTAGGGCCAGCCCAGGCAGCAGCAGAGGACATCAGTTCCTCGCTCTGCTCAACTCTTCCCGGCATCTCCTGCCTCTTGGGTGACCCGGGTGGTTCCTCCCACCTCCTCCTGCAGCCCTGCCACCCCCGCACCCCCCCGCAGCTCCCCAACACTCATGAGCTGCGGTCCAGGAATGCCACGGAGGCTGGCAGACAGTCCTGATCTCAAAGAAGTGGCAGGTGCCGCTCCACAACAGCTGTCCAGCCTCAGTGGGGAGGGCTGCAGGGCCGCTGCTGACTGGCTGGGGCTGGAGGACAGGGACAGGCAGCCACCCTCTCGCCACGAACAAATCCGAGTCCCCCTTCATGTGGCTCTCGAGGGGCTGAACAGTGTTGAGAGCTGCTGAGAAAGTCACACCAAAGACCAACGACCCACGGATGCCAGTCACCGCCCGAGTGGCAGTGTCGTGATGAAGTGAGTCCAGCACGCTACATCTGGTTTTGGGTTTTATTTTAGAATTTATAAAATTCCAGTGTCATCCATATTCATGAGCATTTACACGTTTGCATATAATCTCCAAATTCCAAAGTTAAGGCCAAGGGATGGATTGTAGCTATGGAACATGATATGGAAGACATTCACCAAGGAGGAAAAGCACACACATTCCTCATCCCAGCCCCGGCCCTGCCCAGGGCTCTCCTGACAGCACAGACGCTTCGGCGACAGTCATTCCATTACCTTTATCACAATCATCCAAAGAAAAAGAGAGGCCCTGAACAGCCGAGGAAAGGGCTTGCATCTGAGACACTGAGCAACACACACACGTGTAAAATTTGGTGAGAATGTAAAATTCACCTTTGGGGGAGGGCAGGGGCCGGATGTTTTAGGACACTGTAGAAAAGACAGGAGGAACCCGCTGGGATGGAGACAGGACAGAAGGTCCAGAACTCACGCAGATGGGGACACGCCTGCCCCCCACACTGGCATCCCCGCGGAGGGGGAGGGGACAGATCGCAAAGAAGGCAGCCAAGTGCCTTGCTTTCTCTTCTTCCTAATCCACAGTCACCCAGCCTACGAAGCAGAGGAAAGATTCCTTCCTATCCAGTCTACCATTCCTGTCAACAGGCCCATGCAGGGCTGCCTCAGCGAGGCAGCTGCAGTCAGACGCGGGCGAAGCCATTCTGGGTCTACTCAGGAAGTCCAGAGCCTGAAGATGACCACGCCTGAGTTCAAGAGCGAGAAACACGGGTGAGGAGTCAAGGCAGAAGCGACTGTCCCCAGGGAAGGGCTGAGACGGGTGGCCGAAGGTCGGCTTTTCTGTAATCAAGCACCTGGGACAGGACAGCTCACAGCAGCCCAGCCCCCTCGGTGGGGGACAGAGAAAGATGGGAGGGCCAGACACCCAGCGACGGGGACGGCGCCCTTGGTCCTCACGACACAGGTGCCTCCCCTGGTGCGCAGGGCTCTCGGCGCCCGCGGTGTGGTCCGCGCTCTGCTCTACCTCGTGCTCCATCATCTCTCTGCTCCGCACCGTGAAAACTGCCCATCACCTGGGACCTTCTCCTAGGAGCTGGCCTGCACATCTGACGGGCTGTGGGTGGGGTGGGAGTGCCGATCCCACTCTGGAGGCCTGCTGGCCACGGACCCACCTGTGCTGAGGGTGCGCGCCAGCCTCCAGCTTCGGTCCACGGCGCCCACCCCCAGCTCCATGGCAAACCCACAACCACCAGAAACATCTAAATCGAGACGAGTGTGTGGGGTGGCAGTAAGTGTACCGGAGACCACTCCACGCCGGCTGAGGTAGGAAGAAGGCAACTGAACACATGGCATCTGGGGCAGGAGCGGGCAGGGGCTGCAGGTGGCGTGAAGAAAAGCCCAGCTGTCACCTAAGGCAAACTGTCCCCACTGAGGATAAGCATAAGGCCCCACCTCCCCCATGCTGTGCGTGTCTGACTGTGCCGGCCACAGGGGCCCCGGAAGGTACACACCAATCCCACCTCGCCTCCAGGCGCCACTCACCAGACCTCAGGCCGAGGGTCTGGCAGTGGAGGCGGGGGCAGGGACCCTTGGCGCTTTCAGACCCCACAGCAGGTGAAATCAGGACTGCCTGAGAACCCAAGTCGCCCCTCCAGCTCCAGGAATCCGCCCTCCCGATGTCCAGAGCCAGGTCCTCCGTGCACCCTCACACCTGTGCTGAGGTGCCGTGGCAGCTGGAGGAGGCAGCTGCACTCCACCACTAGGAGGGTCTGGACCACGGGAGACGGGCAGGAGGGAGGTGGGAAAGGAAGAGGGCAAACGTTTGGCTTTTACGAAGTCAAGGAAGTTTATTTCCTGAGGTCATGACACAGGAAGTCGAATCCTAGCCGCTGCTGCGGTGCTCTCGTGAAGAAGGTCAGAGTGCTGACTGCCATGCCGGGTGGACCAGGAGCTGGAGTCTGTTATCTTAGCATGAGTGCTCATGACCTTGTTTAGTGTTAACAGTGGAGCAGGTCCTGAGCGGGCACTGGGCACGGCCAGGCCTGGAGGAGCGGCGCACACAGAGCCAGGCGCTGGCTTCTCTGTGAGACCTCGGGAAGGGGGGAGAGCGTCAACAATTTATGGAGGGTCCAGCCGCTGGGTCAGATTGAGACAAACCATTGTGTGGTTAGGTTCGGGTCAGCAGGCTGGAGAGGTTTCTGCTTTTTGATCATTATCGTTTGGGGCCCCAAGGGAGGGTCTTGGGAGCCACCTGAGCCCCAAAGCTGGGAAATTCCTCAGAGCTGCTCATGTCAGGAGCCTGTGCAGAGAGAGAACACAGCTTCAGGAGGGGTCGCTCCGCAACTTGCAAGCAGCTTCCGACGCGGTTGACACCCTCGGGACGCCATGCCTGCCCACCCTCCCTGGGACCCAGGAGGGGAGAAGCCCGCGCCTGACCTTCTCACTGCTGCTGGAGGTCCAGGGTGCGTCCCGCACCACAAAGCCTCTGGATGGCGCCTTGGCCTCCTCCTGTTGCGGGGGTTTCATGTACACCTGCAGCGCCTCGCTGTCCACCACGTCGGCCAGCTGCAGGCAGAGGACAGGGAGACAGGGTCAGCCTGCTCAGCACCCCCAGCCTCCCACCCTCCTGCTCACCCCTGCACCTCACCTGCCTCTGGAAACACAAGTGTCACCTTGACCCCTCAGGCTCCTGGCTGGGCCTCAGGCCGGTGGACACCAGGGCACCTCGGGGCTCCAAGACCCCCCCCCCCACCCAGACTCACATATTCCTCCTCCAGGTTGAGGATGTGGTCAATGGCTTCCTCCACGTTCTCTGGGAGCCCTGTCACAGTGACGCAGTTGGGGTCTGGGGCTCCACTCTGTGGAAAGCGAATGTCCACCTGGAAGGCACAATGTCAGATGAGGGGACTCCAAGCAAAGACTTTAGAACAAAGGGTTGGCCGGGCGCGGTGGCTCATGCCTGTAATCCCAGCACTTTGGGAGGCCGAGGCGGGTGGATCACGAAGTCAAGAGATTGAGACCATCCTGGTCAACATGGTGAAACCCCGTCTCTACTAAAAATACAAAAAATTGGCTGGGCATGGTGGCACATGCTTGTAATCCCAGCTACTCAGGAGGCTGAGGCAGGAGAATTGCCTGAACCCAGGAGATGGAGGTTGCGGTGAGCCGAGATCGCGCCATTGCACTCCAGCCTGGGTAACAAGAGTGAAACTCCGTCTCAAAAATAAATAAATAAATAAATAAATAAATAAAGAACAAAGGGTTAAAATTATGTGTCTATTTCTAGTGAAGCATTTTCTGAGTCAGCCTCATCACAGCAAGTCAGGTGCATCTCAGAGGACCCTGTTCACAGCCGACGAGGATGGAGCATGAAACTCCCACCCGCAGAGGAGCAGCTCACCGGGCAACCGCCAAGGGGACGACACCCCCCGAATAGGCCACCGTGGCGGCACTGCCCGACACAGGCCACCCGTGGTGTCCACGAGGACAGTTCCACTGCCAGCCCTGCAGCTGCGGCCTCATCGTCTGAGGGGAAGGCCATGCTGTTCTCTTTCTGGCCAGCCAGGTGCCCAGTGAGAGAGGGGATTCTCACCCAGTGTGCTTCTGGCCGGCTCACCTTGAATTCATCCATAATTTTGCGAATGGCTTTGCCGCGGGCCCCGATGATGCGGGCGTGAACACGGTGGTCCAGCGCGACATCCTCAGAAACCATCTGCTCAAGTTCACCCACAATTCTCAATATAGCGTCCCTGGCAGCTTCTGTGTTCTTTTCGTACCCTGTGATGGTAATTTGGTCCTGAGGCTAGAAAAGGAAAATGCAGTCAGAAAAGGGGGTGCCTTCCTGGGATTCCCAGCAGGCTGCTCCGTGGGGAGACAGGGCAGGCCAGGGGCACAGAGGGCCGAATGCACAGAGGGCCTCACCGCTGAGGAGAAAGAAGCTGGAAAGCAGCGTAACGGCTGATTTACAAGAGGTTGACAATGTCCACTCAGCTCCCATCTCTTCCCAACTCCACCCAAAAAGACAGTGGTTTACAGGATGAAAAAGGACGTTTGTCCTCAAAGACGAAGGAGAGACACTGACAGGCAAGAACTCTGGACTCAAGGACAGCAGGGCAAAGACAAAACCCCCAGCCACTCAGCCCACGAGCGCCACAGTCTGGAGGTGTCTCTGTGCTGGAGGCCACCTGGCTGGTGCTCCACACGGAGCGCCTCCCTCACTCAGCGCTCCCACCTGCTCAGGCCTCCCCGGGGCCATACAAATGGACAGCAGGCCAGCAGAGCAAGCGGACAGTTCAGGGCACAGAGAAGAAAACCTAAGAAAACACCTGTAACCTACAGCTGGTGAAAACCGCATATCCACAACGCAAGAACATACCACCACACAGCAGTCTAGGGGACAGGAACAAACGCCTGGGAAAGACCCACCTAGAAACGACAGGGCCACAGCCCAAGCAGCTTCTGTCCAGAATGAAGCAAAATGCTAGGGCAGGAGGCAGCCGCCCCACCCACACGTGGCGCAGCAGAGCTGACAGCCTTGGGCACCACCCACTGCCTCCAGGCCCAGAACCTCACGAGCAAAGGCACAGCTCACAGGAAAAAGCTGCGTGTGAAGAAACGGCTGCTCTACCCCACTTGGCTCATGGTGTATGAGATGCAATAGTCTTAACTGCTAAATGATGACTTCTAAAATTAATAATTATGTGGAAAGGGAAATAAAAGGTAGTAAGGGGGGGGTGTAAAAAAGCTAAACACTTGGACTGGGCGCAGTGGCTCATACCTGTAATCCCAGCACTTTGGGAGGCTAAGGTGGGCAGATCACGTGAGGTCAGGAGTTCAAGACCAGCCTGACCAACATGGTGAAACCTCATCTCTACTAAAAATATAAAAATTAGCTGGGTGTGGTGGTGCGTGCCTGTAGTCCCAGCTACTCGGGAGGTTGAGGCATGAGAATTGCTTCAACCCAGGAGGTGGAGGTTACAGTGAGCTGAGATTGTGTCACTGTCCTCCAGTTTGGGCAACAGAGCAAGAGTCTCTTTAAAAACATAAAAAATAAAAAAGAGCGAAACACTCAAGATCAAGATTAAAAATTAATGTACTTGGGGAGGGAAGAGGATGCGGGAGTGGGAGGAGAAGGCGGGCTGCAGGCGGGCCCTCCTGGGCTGGGCGGTGTGTGTGATGCAAAGATCCACAAGGAAACAGAGGCTGCTGGGGAGACAGAGGGGAGGGTGAGGCAGGCGGGAAACCCATGCAACACGCCCACAGTGGCACCGGCGGCGTTGCGGCCTTGCTGCCGGAGGGTCTGCCGAATGCTCCCGGTAGCCAGCACAGCTGTGACCACCAAGGTTTACGTCTCCCACCATGTGCAAAGCTGTGCCGGGCACACCTAGGAAGCAGACACCCCAGCAGGACGGCCAGGGCTCGGCAGAGTAAGCCTGAGGACGGCAGGGAAGGCCCTGTGTGTGCAGAGGGCGCCAGCAGGCATGGGCGCGCTGGGTGGGGCTAACCCACATGCTACATGGCAGGGCCCAGAGAGGGGAAGGGTTGCCTTTCGTTTTGTTCTGAGCGAAGCAAGAGGCCGTGAGGGCGACACCAATTTGGAGGAAGTAACAAGAGTTTACCAGGAAGGACTGGGCAAGCTCAACAGTGCAGCCACGGCTGCAGGAAACTCGGATGGTGGCTGTGTCATGCCCGCCTGACTCCCAGCGCCCTTGGGAGCCTCAGAGCAGCTCAGGGGATAGGTGAAAGAGCTACACCAGAGGTGCCAATGATCACGAACCCAGCTGGAGCTCCTGCTCATTTCTCAGGAGGGGACACAGGAGAAAATGCCCCACGCCCCAGACACCTCACCCATCTGGCAAATGCCAGGACATAGCCCAAACCCCAAGCCAGAATCAGATCCTCAGAGACTGCCACTCACAACTTGGCCCTCGAAAACCTCAACTAGGCATATCTGGTTACTGCTTCCGACTCATGGCAAAGCTCCCCAAGGGCCCCTGCCCCCGGCGTGCTCCAAGCAAAGCTCCCCAAGGGCCTCTGCCCCCGGCGCGCTCCAAGCAAAGCTCCTCAAGGGCCTCTGCCCCCGGCGCGCTCCAAGCAAAGCTCCCCAAGGGCCTCTGCCCCCGGCGCACTCCAACCAAAGCTCCCCAAGGGCCTCTGCCCCCGGCGCGCTCCAACCAAAGCGCTCACCTGGCTCCCATCGTCTTTATCAGGGAACTGGATGTTCACGTCATGCTCCAGCCGGATTTGGGTAATCACTGCCCCCTTTCTCCCGATAATCTTGGGATGGTATTTGGGGTCTACAGTGACACTCAGCTTAAAACTCCTTAAAGCCTACAAAGAAAGGAGCGAAAATGAGGCAAAGAGCTGACCCATCCTGTGACCCCACCCCCCTTCCATGCTGGTCCTAGGACACGGGGGTGCTGCAGTGTTCTGTGACCTGTGGTCCCAGCAGTCTAGCATCTCTCGGTTCCCTGCCACCTTTCACTATCTGCTACTCCACAAGGAGGCCTATAAATCCTTCAGAAGAGGGCTTGGGGCCACTAGGGAAGATGGTGCTCAGGAACTGACAGAGCTGGGCAGAGTCATGAGCTTGGGGCCCTCCTCTCCTCATTTGTCAAACAGGGATCTGATGGGCAGGCATAGAAATGCTCTGGGTCTTTTTAGGGCTGGGACAGATGCAGACCAAGAAGAGGGGGCAGCCACGGCCCCTGAACACCCACAGGTCACACCAGAGGCTAGGTATGACCCAGCTGCAGGACAGAACCTGGAGTCCACGCAGGGGTGCACCGCGAGGTTCACGAGCTGCACCCCATTTACTAGACTCCACGTGCTGACTGCAGGAGCAGAAGGCCAACCCCCTCAGCAAACTGCTACCCCAGCACAAATCTGCTCCACGTTTCCAGAACCCCTGCTCCACGTGCGGCACTCCGCTCATGCGGTCCTTCACAGGTCAGCCCTGCCAGGCTGGGGCGTTCATCCCTGCTTACCAGGAAGTCACCTGCCCTTTGACCACCCTGTGGTAGAGGTCAGTGGGGGTCCCCTGATGTGCTCCCTGGCAGCATGGCACACGCTTGGGGGCCTCTCACGACCCTTACCTTTCCTGCAGGTCTCAGGTACCATTCTGATTTGGTTTTGAGAGAAATTGCAAATTTACAAAGATGTCCAACTTTGTCACTTTTATATCAAAAAGAGAAAGGTGCCATGCTCTTAGCTGGCTCCACAGCAAGACCTCGGGATGCTGACCGGATCGCACTGCCTGGGTCTCATCTCCAGCTGCCCAGATGTAATTGGGATGCTGGGATCTTGAAGAACTCCCCTAGATTCTGATGTGTGCCCAAAGCTGAGAACCCAGGGCTCTGGTCAGCAGCACGGCCACTTCCTGCTCACCCGGTCCTCCTGCTCAGCCTGCAGTTCCTTCACACGCTCCAGCAGTCCAGCCTTGGCCCGATCCAAATTTGCGGCGAGGCCTGTGATGGCGATGATGTCGGACTGCAGCTCAGGTGCTGGGACATGTATGTTCACCTGCGTGAAGAGGGGGCTGACTCGATGTTCAGGGGCCCAGAGAACAGGAAGGAGTCCACTGGCCCTGGGACCCAGAGGGAGTGAGAGAAGCCCACTGCCACGAAGAGAAAGCGGCGCTCAATCAGAGCAGGGGAGGCAGAGTCACAGGAAGCTGAGAAGGGACACCGGCCCTCAGGAGAAGACGCGACAGGCCGCTGCTGTGATGTGGCCTCCCGGGAAAGGGGCCTACCTCAAACTCATCCATCATCTTGCGGATCCCACTTCCTTTCTGCCCAATGATGTAACGGTGAAGGTCAAAGGGCACCTCCACTTCGATGGTGACAGGAACCAGTGCCTGCAGGGAGAATGGTCCTGGTCAGGCCGTGGGCCCTGAGAGCAGAGAGACCTTGTAAGCTCAGCAGCAGGGCTCCATGAAACACAAGGCAAACACCCTGAGACGACAGCACCGTGTCCCAAGTGACAATACCACCAGGACCTTTAACTCCACAGAAAAGAACGGAGAAAGACGGGCATTAGGCTAATGGTGGCAGACAAAAATTCCAGACCATTCACCCCAAGCCTGTCCTCCTGAGTTACAGCAGGCCCCTTAAGGCCAACCTAGGAGGAGAGGCCCTGACCCCCGGCACATCCCTGAGGTCGTGATGGTTTTGGCCAAAGCCCCTGAGGTGTCACCGGGACTCTGCTGGACTGTTGCTCCCCTTCGCTGCCCTGTCTCTCCCCGAACGCTTCACCTCCAGAACGTGCTTCTTCTCACCACAGCAGTGACCATCCCTTGCCACAGGATAGGTTTGTGTTTATTGCCTGTCTCTCTCCACTGCACCGTGAAGCCGATTTTGTGTGCTGTGGCATCGAAGCACTGAGAGCGGCACCCAACACGCAGGTGGCAGGCCCCACTCACTGCGCCCCTCACACGCGGCGGGGGTCCCATTCATCCCACTGCAACTGAGAGCTTTCCACGGCCCCACACCCACCGTGGACTGGAGAGGCTGATCCCATGCAGCCGTCCTGGGAAGGTGCTGCAGAACCCGGAGCTGCGGTGAAGGGAAGGGGCCTCCCAAAACTCTGTGTCCAGCCGAGGAGCACAGCCAGCCCGTGCACACACGTTAGGAGCAAGATGACAGGCTCCACTGTCGCTGCCACCTGGGCATCCGTCCAGCCCATCCAGACCACGCCTCCCCCGTGCCCGCTGGCTGGCGCTTGGTGGGGGGCACATGGACACATACCTCCAGGGCTTCCTTGGCAGCCTCGCACTTTTCTTTCCGGCCGGAGATGATGATGATGTCACACCTCCTTGGAGAACCAGGGTCAGCGTCTTTGGCCTCTCTCCCCTCCCCAGCTTCATCCCCGTTCTCCTGGACAACTGGCTCTACACTGTGAACTAGAGAAAGGGGAAAAGGGACAGCTGACAGCTGCTGGAGGAGACCCCATGCCTTGTTCAGAACACACATCCATGAGGCACCTGCTGGGTGCTGGGTGGTAAAAGGGAGGAAATACCCCTGTCCTTCAGGTCTTGGTCTGGGTAGGAAGGGCAGATAGGACATTCCTACAGCAGCCACAGAGAGGGCTCCCAGGCCTAGCGGGGCCCTGAAGGCTTTGCAGGAGACCAGGAGCTCTGTGCCTCCCTTCTTCACCTTGAAAATGAAGCTAACAGCAACTACAGCAGAGGCTTCAGTGAGATCAGATGAGCTGCACACATGGGGCTTGACCGAGAGGCAGGGTTCTCCAGGGAAGGTGGCCAGCACGCAGCTCCACCCGGGAGAGGCAGTGGCGAGGGGGCGAGAGGTCTACAGGGGATGGAAAGAGCCAGGCCAGGCTATGTGCCAGCTCCTTATACCAGAAAGTGAGAGCCCAGGACTGAAGGGGCACGTGAACAGGACACAGAAGGCAGCTGGAGGGGCTCCCACAGGCCACGCTGGGACACCAGGTGCGTGCCGAAACAGACACCACGGCAATGCTTATCACTAAGACACAACCCAGGAGGCGTGATGGAAATAAATGAGCAGGAGACCAGACACATGCCTGCCTAAAAGCAAGGGTGACCCCAGGGTGGGGAAGGAGGCGATTCTGAAGGAGAAGAACTGGCAAATTTGATTACTGATTACATGTTAAATACTACCATTACATAACGTTAGATTGGATTCTGATAAATGTGCCAGAATTATGTAAGAGAATGTCCTTGTTTTTAGAAAATACCCACCATGAATAAAGGGGTATGTCTAAAAATTACATTCAGAAAAAAAAAAATAGGCGTGTAAAGGGGAGAAGTTGAGACCACAGGTGTCTTTACACTATTCTGCGAAATTATATCAAAGTTTAAAACAGCCACTGAAGCGTAAAACACAGATGGAGTGCAGTATGATTTTATTAGCTTCCTACTCAAAACAGCCTGTATTCCCAGGAAAACAAAGGGGCTTGAATGGCTGTGTGTGACATTCCTGGATGCCCAGAGGGATGACACTGTGTGAACACCTGCTGTGCAAACAGCTCAACCAAGACAGACACACAGAGAGGAGAGCGCATGCACCTTCTGTTTCACAAACGCAGAGCAAGTGAGGGAGGGGCCGCCCACCGCACCCCACGTCCCCCCACCACCCGGTGACTGAGCAGAGCTGGGGGCAAGCAGGGTACCAGGAGCAAAATGCCCTCCTATAAAAGCTGCCAGCCACATGGATGGTGCCCTCCGGCCAGCCAGAGGCTGCAGCTGCCTGCCTCACAGGGGACACCCCACAGAGTGACGGGAGGTGTGGAGAAGGAAGCTCTCTGGTGGGGCTCATGTGATCCAAACGTGTCATGAGAAATACTGGGGCTGAACTTGGGGCACCCCGAGGATGAGGCGGCACGATCCTTGTCACCTCGGAACTTGCCGACACATGAAGGGCACCTCGTCACTCTGTCAATAACTGACATGATCCATCTTTTAAAGGCCAGAGAATGACCCTGAACCTCTGGACGCCCCCAGAATACACAGATGGTTTTCCAGCAGAGAAAGGAAAGAGCCTCACCAGTAAGTGCAATAGCTCCACCTTCCACGTGAGAAGCACCACTGTCGACAAGCAGAAGATGACTAAAGGGGACCCACCTGGGTTCTCCTCTCTGTCTGGGAATTTAATCTGAACATTGAAATCCCGAGTAATCTGCTGGATTCTGGAACCTTTGGGGCCCATGACAGATCGATGGAATTTCTGGGGTATAGCACATTCTAATGTCACCTGAGCTTCCTGGAGGGAGGTACACAAAGAAAAAAGGAAAGAGCAAAGATTAAATTCCTTAGGGCCGGTTCACAGCACTCTCAGCAACTTCCTTCCTGCCCTCCACAGCCACTTGGCACAGACACTTCTGGTTCTGAGGTGAGTCCGGGGCTTCAGGTGCAGGGAGGAGGGAAGGTGGTAGGGCACATCCAAGAGGGTGGGCGGCCTCTTTTTTTTTTTTTTTTT